GAGAAGCTTCTATCACATGAGTTGTTCAATGGATGACGGTATCCGTACTGCATTCCAATATGGAAATGTCCAAGTTCAAAAGGATTCGCGGATCAACTTCATGAATGCAGTTCGCAAATGGGAGGAAAATCTCCGCGACAAACAAGCACCAGAAACAAGTATCTGGATTTCGTCTAGCCAGTCACGCAGCACAATCGACTTCTGTGTAGCAGATTCCAACAAGCTTTCACTGAACACGTTATTTTGACCAGGCAATTTGTTTCTCATCTCAAGAATCCGCATCCAATTCTGCAAAACCTCGAACCAGTAGCGGCAGGGGGGCCTTCGCCTACTGGCATGTTTTCTTTATCAATTCACAGATTTCTTGCAAGTCATTTTCAACGCACAGAACATCAGAACATCAGCAAATGGTACATCGAACCGGCGAGCTCCCGGCATTCGCCCACCTCTCGAGCAACCTTGGCTGCAAAGCTGCACAGTCTGGATGTCGAAGCTGTCGGACGTCTGGAGATCAGCAGTGGTGTGGTTGGTGGGAATGCAGGGGAGCTCGCCGGACAGGTAGGCCTGCCGCCACTGGGGGACCTCGGTGCCCTGCCCAGACGCCTCAACAACGTCCAGGAAGTCGGTTGCTGACGCAGGAAGGGACGTCCCGACATACTGGGGCCCCGCGCAGTACAGGCGAGTATCAAGGGCTGAGGCGGGGTAATCTGTCGCAGCGCAGAGAGCACCAGATCAGAATCGAGGAATGCCAATAATTCTGATGTGGTAAACCAAATGATAGGTGGTACGTGTGTGCTGAACAACAATGCTGATCAGTCTGTGCAAATAATTGGTAACATCGATCAGTGCCTGTAAGCATCGTGGCAGTTCACAAGTACTGTTGCAATGGAAAATCCCCTTCAAGGAATGTGGGGAGCTGCAAACTATTTGATCGAAGCTTGCAGAGACATGACAAGAAGTTCTTCACACTGGCAACGTGATGACAGGCACAAATTTGTTCATTTCATCAATTGACACAGCAGGAGCAGTGTGAAGCAGCAAAATCAGTGGGATTCTTTGGACCTTCATTGGGTCAACAAAGCAATAGCTATCTGTATTCTGGACATCTGAAGTGTCTTGTTGCGAATTGTCCGGCCATTGAATAGGACCTTGATGCACGGCTGGGCGAACATGTGTGTCCATGAATCAAGTTTTCCAAGCCTTCATGTCCAAATGCTGTTGCACAGGCATTCTGTTTTGCTGCCCCGCAATCCACAAACGACACTGTGCCATCATCCTTGCAACAAGACCACCCATTGCTCAATTCAGTTTTCTGTTCCCTTTGACAACAGTCCCACAGTCCAACAATCTATCAATCCATCCACCCATCAACGTCACACAATCAGGCGAATTAAACCTATCTCACATGGGGCCCAATATCTGCTTTCTTTAATACAGTTTTGCAAGAAAAATTCTAAGCAACTTTGGAACAGGAGCTGTCACATGTTCAACAAGATCAGTTTCTGGAAAACAAGCCTTCAGTCTTCCAAGATTCCTGTGCTTCCTGTGATTCGGTGTGCTCACATGAAATGAAGTCCACACACATCTCATCGAAGGTCCCTTCGCCACCGAAAGTGGACTCATTCCTCTCTGTCGAGTTGAAAACACATGTGGTTGCCAAAATATCACCGTTCCTCAACTTCAAGGCGGCCATGTGCGACCAACGTTGCACGTTGAAGTCGAAGTTGTCTTCCCTGGACAGTTCCCCCACCTGAGGGCACCGAAACACAATTAGATGGGCACCTTTTCCAGGGACGTTCTGTGTTCTTACGTTCAGGACCATTGCTCCTGTGAAAGCTCAGTATTTGCTTTCATCCTGCTGACCAGCATGGCTGGCATGAACATGTCTAGCTATGCATGATTGATAATGGTGCTTGGGATGCTTAGCAAGCAGCTACGGCAATGGGCACCTGTGCGTGCGGCAAAATTGTTGAGCTGGAGTCAGTGCAACACAATCACAGTGCGATGTGACATGAACATAGAATAGATTGCGCCATGTGGTACACAAAACAGACCAAACAAAATCTCCTACAGAATAATGGCAGCTCATCTGTCCATTGTTTCACAGACACTGTGTCGTCCAGCAGCTTCAATCCAACAAAGAATCAAGTGCTGTTGCCACACATCCACCCTCCCAGTTACAACCAAACAAGCATCTCCAAAATCCCAATCAACGAGGCTTCCGCCCACCTTCTCCAGTTGCGTCAGGTCGCTGATGAAATTTCCCCCTGTGTGCAGATCTTCAGATGGGACCCTCAGGATGTCCGTCCAAAGGCGCCTTCCCAAGAAATGCATGTGGGGCACGTTTGAAAACACAGTGATGCCATCCGGCGCTTGCGTCTCATCTATCACCAGCTGGCAAATGGTGGCTGAGAACACAACTTCTTCCTTGGGAGGTATTTCTCCAACACTGGTCACCATTCCAGACCACAAGAGGCCAACCTGGTAGAGAAAAACCGCCAGCATGGGCATCATCGAACGTTTGCAGAATAAGCATCTTACAGCTGCCATGATTTGTGGTGCATTGACCAAAATATGGTGAACCCACTGCAACCACATTTCTGTCTGTGCTGCGGAGCATTCCTTCACAAATTACCATGAACAGAACCAATACATCATGCGACTTTTCGTATCCTGCTTTGTATATGGAAATGCCTTTGGTGGGTATATCGTTGCCAGCATGTTTCGCACCTTGGCAACTGTGGTTCCACCATGGAGACTATTGAAACCTTTGCATTCTTTTTCTTTCGCTTTTTCTTTTTTCAAATTTACCCAACCGCACACACAGCAGAAGTTTCTGTCCTTCGGCAGGCTTTGAACCAAGTGCCTGCCATGGTATACTGCAGAAGCAGAATTTGACAACAAGGCTCTTCCTGGGTACTGGAAGCTCCCATATCCTTACTCTTCTGCAAGGTGCCAACAATGCATTCCCTGCACATGATGCATATGTCCAGGTTATGAACATATCTTGTATGTGCACAACTAAGAGCATGGGCGAATAATCTCATGACAGAGCGCAGTGGTACTTGCCCCATCCCCATCCCCATCAAGGAAAATTTCATGTCATACTGGTGACAGTGCAGCACATTTTCGAACGATTTCCAGGACTCCTCAACACTCGGAGGACACGGCAAACATAATTATTCCCACGATGGCGGATGTTCTGCTTCACCTCAGCAGTGCGCTTGTGGATTGAAAATGGCACAATAGTCTGCGCAGGTGTGTAATGTCAAGTGTACATTCATGTTATCGTTTTTTAACAGGATCAGAGGGACAGGAGCCACCCAACAATGTTCATAAACATGGCACATGCTGATTTGCCTACTTCATCCTTCCGCAGATCGCTAGTCAAATGCATGCGAATTCCACTGGCATCAGTTCTTCCTGTCTGCAGCAGCGGGTTGTCATAGTGAATTTCCAGCTCGAAACTCAAGCGGCCAGTGCCCTTGCCCACAGAAATGCCTGCATTCGAAGGGAGGCTGAAGTTTCCTGGCAGCAAAGTCGATCCGATCATCACGGGCAGTGCCATGCAGCAATACATACTTGGTGGCTGGGTTTTAGCTCCTTTGGAGCTGTGTCACACTTGCATGAGCCACTTCAACCGCCAAAGATATTCTGGGCAGCTTTGCAGTGTTCTGCTGGAGCGACTCAGAATTCTTTCCTTGACAGAAAGTAAGTATGTAACCACCCCACCACACTGAACCCCACCCAACAACCACGCCCCCCACGACTGGACTTCATTTCACAATCAGTTTCATCTTGCACAGTTTAAAGTGCCCTTATGGCCACACACATTTGTCGCCCAGATATCAGTTCAACCATTTGCCCATCATCTATGTCAAACTTGAATGCCACAATGGTCTGACTGACAAAGAGAACTGTAAGAGGTGCTTTCACGTTGTCAGACAACCCACAGCATTATTCCACAAAGTCTCTTTTGTTATCTCTAGTTTGAAAACGCGTAACGAACAGCAGAAGCAACAAACTGCAAAGCCCAGCTAGCTCTCCGTGGAATGCCATCATCCTCGAAGGCTTTGAAATCTGTCACCTTTGCTATCTTGAGTGTGTGGAGATTCTGCTGATGCAGATAATGCACATGCACCGCATACTGAAGAAAACGGATGGCAAGCATACATGGCAATCTTCTCTTGCCCCAAAATGCCTCACCATTTCCAGGAGCCCAGAGGTAGACAGATTCCTCACATTCGTCATCCATTTCGGATTCGTCCTCCAAAATTTCGCCAGGCCTATCAGTTGGCTCCTCGCACACAAACATCACAAAGTGATGCACCATTTCCTCATTGTCGATCAACGGCTCGACACCCACCATGTGGTATTCCCTGTCATCCTGGAATATCCGCATGGCACAGACATGTTAGCAGCAAGAAATGTTTGAACGAATAGAAGCAATGGCATGCAATGAGCCCCCGTCCCCCTTCTTTTCTTCTTCAATTGGTTTTGAATGGATTCATTCACACCAAAGAATACGATGCTGAAATCTCTGAGTCAATAGGCACTCTTCCGTGTGCAGCAGCACAAATACATACGACAAAAGCACCCATATGAGAGAAATCGGCTCCGAAACCTTCAAATGAACGCCCATTTCTACCATGTATAGGCTGCATTCAATTCTATACATATAAGCGCAATACAATCAACATGGGATGAGCGGTTCACCTTAATATTGCAATCCTTTCCGTCTCCAGCTCATTGTTGCTTGGCATAGGACACGATCGGAATCGCTGTAGGATAAATCTGGAGTACTTTATTGATTGCCCTGTGTACAACCTCCAGTGCTACAACGAGATGATGGCATTCACATGTCATACGCATGCCACTGTGAAAATAATCAACTTATCCAAGCATCCATTATACCCACGACACATGCCAGCCTTCGAGGGTGAAACCTATGACTCCACAACCCAACATACCCCTCGAGCCAGACTCACCGGAAAATTGAACCGCACGTTGTCATATACGGTATCCACCGGTTTGAGCACATGCTCTTTGACCACGTATTCAATCGTGACTTCTTTCTCTCCTTCGTTGAAAAAAGTATCAGGACCCAACAGCACAATGCCTTCACACAGTTCAGTCTTGTTGGCATGCTCACTTGGTACTGACGATGCAAATCCTGGGTGGGTTACTTCCCATTCTTGTGGAGTCATCCAGGGAGGCACCTTCGCTCCCTGAACGTGCATCAAAGTTTCACAATGTCAGATGAATAGCATTTGGATTCGAGCAGGCAGGTGATGCGCAAAGTGCCTCCGCCGATTTCGGAGACGCAAAATGGCACACGCAGCACGAAACATTTGTTAGCATCTAAGGATTGTGCTGCCAACAAGCTGTGGTGCATGGGAATGGCATCTATGCCAAACTTGAATACATCGTACTTCGTTGACAAATGTGGCGTGGCATTCACAATCACTTCCTTTTTCATTTTGCCATTGATAATATAAGCAGTCCATTGGAGAATAAACCCGCTCAAATCTGAATGCAGTCAAAGGCGCACTATTTATTGCCACAAAGTTGCCTAGGCGCCAGGATAGCTGTGAGGATAAGCATTGCTTCTATTTGACCATTGCTTCTAACCAGCAGGTGTCACATCTTGGCACTATGCAACAAATGACCCCGTTGGTCAGTTTCTGCTTGCTTTTTATACCAGCTTTTGAACATTTCTGTCTGTGTCCAAATTGTGAAGTTGCTGAGAATCGTGCAGTCGTTGAGTCAACGTCCATAAGAATGCACACCGTTTATCGTAGTCGTATTTTTGGTGCGATTTTTAACCAGTTTGGAAAAGCACAATGGGGGGAATCGCCAAATACTTGAAAACCAACGAGGCTCGCCATCCATTGTTGCCCTGTACATGGCGTGAGTACGGACTTCACTGCTGCAGCGTTCCGTTCATCTGTAAAGATGTTGGACATCACGCTCAAAACCACACGGTGGTGGACGATCGCAGACCTCGCTTCCCGAGCATCCATAAACCAGGACGTGGGACAATACGTTGAAATCTGCATGGGTAGCGTACGATTGCAGTGCCAGCTGCTCCAGCATTCATCTGCAAGGGTCCTGCGCGTTACGTTGAAATCTGCATGGGAAGCGTGCGATTGCATTCATGTATGGGTACTGGAAAACACGTTGAAATCCGCATGGGCGGTGTTCGGCACAGGCCAAGTGTTTCCCGTGCACGGATTTGTCACGAACCGCTGATTTGTCATCTACGGCCGGGCCGGCCCACGCCCCAGCGCCACCGACAAAGTCGTGGCACCAGCGAGCCCCCACCCCCCCGCCGGCCAGCCCTTCCACGGCGAAGGCGATCGCCGACCTCCGGCCTTCGCACCGCCCATCGGCCTGGAGCCCGCGTAACGAACGCACAGCATGATCCACAGCGGTGCCGGAGCTACCGCGGCGGCCGGCGCTGACGCCTCACCACCCCTCGGGGGGGTCGGGGCCGCGAAATTGACGTCCAACACGGGCCACAATGCCCTTCAGACCACCCGTGGGCCAAGGAGTCGCTGCTTCAGCATGCAGCGTGAAGCTTCAGCCGTGGCGCACGCAGCAGGACACGGAATAGCGCCCACAAGCTTGCCGCCAAAAGCATGCCACCGATTTTAGTACCAGCATACCACGTTTCCCGGGCTTTGTTCCCGTCAGACTAAACAGCAAGGTTTGGGATGCAAGAGCGACAAAGGGCGGAATGGTGTTCTCGAGTATCTTTCTTTTGCAAAATGCTGAGCAGCTCCGGGCACAGGGTTCGTTGTCAATTTTAAGGTGCTGCATTCGCCTGTGCTTTCTTAGCATGCACCCCGGACGGACCGTCGCGGATCACTCGCTGGCAAGTTGCCCGCCACGCACCCCCCTCCGCCCCGATTCCCGCGCCCCCACCCTCGCCCTATGGCCTTTGAATCGTACCAGTGAATCCTCCCGTTTCAGATGTCTTCATCAGGCGGTAGTCCAGGAAGGCGCTACCGCTGATTCCGCAGCTGTTAGCTTACGGCATTCTAAAGGCAACATCACCCTTCGCTGCCACAGCCGCCGCTCCCCGGAACGCCGCCATTCTGGCACGTGTTGGACGTCGATTTTGCGGCTCCGATGCCGCTTGGGGGGGGGGGCAGTGCCGGCCGTTGCTGTGGCTCAAGCTGCGCGCTCGTTACGCGGGCGCCAGGCTGATGGGCGGTGCGAAGGCCGGAGGTCGGCGATCGCCTCCGCCGTGGAGCGGCTGGCCGGTGGGGGGCTTGCAGGTGCTGCGACTTAGTCGCTGGAGCTGGCGTACGGGCCCACCGTAGATGAGGGGCGCTGCACCAGTATCGGGGCGCCCAGCGATTCGTGACAAATCCGTGGACGGGAAACATTCAGACAGTGCCGTGGTGTACTGCGCAGTACCAGCTGGCTGCCCCGAACTCTCATCCGTTTGATTATTCCGACAACCGCAATTTACAACGGTTGTGGGATTGTGCATGATTGCAGATCGTGTGCTCAAAGCTGTCCCGGTGACAGCCGCTTCGCGCGCGACCGGCACCCACTCCACAACACCGGCGCTTCCGGCGGCACCAGCCTCCGCTGACCCGCACGCAGAGTCGACAGCCAAGCGCGAGCAAGGCGCTGCGCCCCCTTCGCGCGTGCCACGCCTTCCAGCGGGCCTCTCCGCGGACTTGGAATCAGGACAGCCGATATCAGAACATCGCAGAATATGTGCACGGAAACATGTTCAGGGTTCGCAGCCGAACGCCCGCTCGGCGGGCCGTTGCACCTTACCTGGTGCCAGACGCAGCAGGGGTCCCCCAGCTCCTCCCCGTTGGTGAACCCATCGCCGTCCGAGTCCATCTCGCACAGCTCGAGCGTCCAGGCGCGCCCTTGCTGGGCAAAGTCCTGCCACAGACGTCCAGCTTCAGGCTCGCGTCGCAAGCGGAAGAACACTCGCAGCTCCGCCCTCAATACGCAAACACCGCGCAAGTCGACACATCAGGGTCGCGGCGACCCTCGATCGCACACAAACACCATGCAGGTTGAATTCTCAGGGCCGTTTCCGCACGGCGACAGAAGGCAAGTGGCCACATCCCGGCAGCGGCGCGCGCACCCCGGCACCGACAACCGATCTTCACCAATTGTCGACCGCAGACTGATCGCAAATTCGCTCTGGAGCCCCCGGAGCACCTGTCCAAAGGGGTTGCGCCGGGGCTCCACGGCCCCCCCGAGGCAGTTCCTGTGGCCCACGCCCACGCAGAGCTCCCCCGCGCAGTCGTGGTCCGGCGGGCAGGGGACCCAGTCGCCGTTGGGGAACCTGGAGCGGTAGTTCTGCAGGCCGGCGCAGGCGGAGAGCGCGGCGAGCAGCAGGACGGTCGCCAGGCGCACGCGAGCGGGGGGCGCCATGTTTGCTGTTTGGTGTGGTTGCAGGAACGCCGATCAGGTCCGCCCTCAAATGGGTCCCCGCGGGGGCGTGCAGCTACCGGAGCGCGGCGAGGGCAGGATTACCTCACTGTTATCGCTGACTCGCGATTGGAAGGCCTGTGTCCGTTGGTCAATGGGCGAGGGCACATGCCAGGAATATGTCAGGCGTGACGGGGGGCCACCTGTGCGGCGGAGGCGAAGGGGGCGACGTCTGCGGGTGTTCGGTTGGTGCGCCCGGACGTCCAGCTGTGGTGACTGGGCAATCAGCAGCTTGGCGTGGGCCCTGCCGTGGCTTTGGTGCGGATGTGGTCGCCCCTGTTTCGTTATGTTGAGTGTCGTTATGTTTGCGTTGTGTAAGTGGCAGCACGGACACAGTTCGCATGCGCAAACGCTGGTCACCTGGGAGGCTCGCCTTGTGGAGGCACCTCTTCAGGCACAGCGGCAAAGCCCTCCTTTGCGGTGTGCTCTCTTTTGCCGAACAAGGCACAACAAGACTACCTCGACTGCGCAGTCGGCGAAACCGTCCCCCACTTGAAGCTCGCTGACGTCTTCCTGACCGAAGCGTCGAACGTCGAACTGCGGCATGGCGTTTCAATGTGTCGGGAAGGCGCCGTTTTTGTGAGTTGCAGCCGCGGCCCTTGCTCACCATCTTCTGGCTGCCCCCCTTCCGAGGACAGGACTTCGCAATCGGTTGGGGATCAAGTACCACACACTCGCCTTTCGGACACACCCTCTGGGCTGCACGAATGGCAATGAATGTATTGCAATTCGGTGGACTCGCTAAGTGTGTTTCCATGCCATTGTCAAGGTGCATAAGAGCGATTGCGCCTTGCAAGGACAGTGCTGAAGGAGTGGTGTCCATGCGCCATTCGGCTGCAAGATGGAAACGGCAATCTCTCCGCAAATTTGGAGTAGAGCTTGCTTGAAACAAGCACAGAGCCCGGCTTTGCACCGCAGCACTCGCTGTGCCCTTCCAGAACCCCACGCCACTATCCAACCGCGTCCCTCACCCACGCCACCCGAATGGCATCATTGACCATCTATCGAGAGAAAATTTGGAAAGCAGACGAGAATCCGACCACTCTCGTGAGACAGTTTCTTGGCAGGTTGTGCATGCACGGCACAGCCAATCAGGTAAAGGGCACTTTCCCGCTGTGTACGTTGACACAGAGCTGAATATCAAATGTGCTTCACCGTGTGGCGGAAACCTCCAGTTCCCTCGTGACGCACAGTTACATCCACAGTGACGAGAGGAATCAAGTACCTCCAGTTTCGCCTCATCCATGCAGTTGCCTTCAGTGGTAATTCAAGCACTAAATGTTTGATTATAGCTCAGCAATCACATTGTGGACCGTCCAAAGCTGTTTCATTGACCTCGAGTATGAAGGTGATGGGTACATGACAGTGTTTGTCCAACTTTCGGACTTTCTTGGCCAGCCTACCGTTATCCGTGGACGCAGCTGCATATTTTGCAACAGTATTTCCATGTATCAAGGCGGCAAATTCATTGATCTCTTTCACAGTACCAATCAGTAATCTTCAATTTCCATTCATTTTGATTTGCTGCAACTCATAGCACAAATACCACGCAGTCTTAAATTTCTTGAGAAGCAGCAAACTCTGCAACAGAAATTCTGCGTCATCCCTCATTCCCAGCGCGATTCCCGCCTTCAATCCACATGATCACCCAGCATGATTCCCCCCCATCGTAGCCTTCCGTGCTTACAGTAATCTTGCAGTAATTAAGCCCGCGCCAAAACCCAGCCTTACGCAATGCTTAAGCGGGTGCCATGCTACCACCCCCGGGCGCCGACGGTGGCTGTGATGGTCGTGGGCGCCATCCTTAGAAACCCTGTCCCATGCCGCCTTGGGGCTAACAGCATGGTAGCGTCGCGGCTGGAAATCGAGGGGGAAGAAGGCTGCTGAAAATTGAATAATTTCTGTCTGATTGGTCAGATACCTTGCCAGTGAACCCGCTGCTACTCCTTGGTGTGACGCCCAGTTCGAACTCTGTTCAAGCTCCAAACAAATGACCAACTTTTTTGGCCACTACTGTGTCTTGGTCGCCGAATGAGGGCGATGGCAGAGACTCCTACCGTCTTCGGCGACAGCATCTTCCAACAGGGCGCATTCCAAGTGGTTGTATATAATCTTCGTGCAATCTGCACCGCAACCCCAGTCATGTACCGGGCGAAACTGTTTGTGCTACATTCTTTGAATACAATGGAAGAATCAAGATGGTCTATTTCAGCAATGGAGAAGGACGCAGCTTCTGTTGGCTTGGAAGGGTGAGTGGCAGATCCCCTGCGACGTCACAGGGAGGAGTGGATTGGGGAGTGTCGGTGGCGTCGGCCGATTTGCCGCGGGAAGGGGAGGGGAGGGAGAGTCGCCGGCGCCGTTGGCGGCGGCGCTGGCACGGGCCCAGCGTTCCCCGTCGATCTGCGGGGCCGTCGCCACGCCAGGTGGCCCACATGCATGGAAGCAAAATTTGCTTATCAAACTGACCGTTCAGTTTGCTAAGCATTTGTGCAGTTGCACCACTGCACAAATCATCATTCCAGGAGCAGCACTTTGAAATTAAATTTGCTTACCAATCTTCTTGAGAAGCTTGATTTGACATATCATATGTGCTGGATGGCTAAATGCCGGTACAAGTGGACCGGATCGTAGGTAAACTCACAGGTGAAGGATTGTGCACCCATGGAACGGCCTTTTACAAATCCCAAGGGCCTTTGCATTCAATGATATGGCGTTCGGTTTTCAGCATGGATCGCGTGATTCCCATATTCAAACGTGGCACCAACTAACTGAAAACATTCAACATGCGCTCACCCCAGCCTCCCGGCTGCGCGGAAGAAGAAGCTGCCCAATAATTGACACCACTCACAGAATGTGTACGAATTTTCGTTTCAAATGCCTTGGCGCTAGTGACAGTGCTGTCTCTATCAACGGCAACCATTCAGTGCAGCTGTTTCACTTACCTCTCGAGCACAACCACCCCTCGCAAAACATGTTTTGTTTGCACAAGTTGTTTGCCTGCTGCCAGAAGCTTGGGGAGCGTTGAGAACGAAAGAAATCGATCGTGCTGTCGTTGGCAGAAATGCACGGGAGCTCCTTCGACAGATAAGCCTGGCGCCATTGGGGTATCGCTAAGCCGACGCCGGATATATTGGCTATCTATAAAATAGAGTCGGTTGATTCCGTCAGGGCGCCCCAAAGTGCAGAGGGATCTAGGAGAAAATAATGGCATCCGTGGCTGCCGTGGCGTAGTCTTTTCAAAGTGCACAGAGACAATGCATCGTTTGCGCTTTTTCCTGCGTAATTTTAGGATTTCTCCAGTGTTTGATTTAATGCAGTATGAAATGGCTTTCTAGAATGTAGTATCGAAAATATTGACTCGAAATATGCCGATAAAATCTTTGAGTTATCATGGGTCAGCGAGGTTTCAAGCTTTTAGTTGCGCAATCAAGGAACCAACAACAGGGTTAGCATGACAGAAGGATGGCTGCGCTTCCAACATGCAGCACTTTCATATCATTTGATCGAACCACAAGAATTCAAGGTTTGTTCTTCTTTGTTTCAAACTGAACTTATTGAATGCTTTCAAATTTAGAATAACGATTTTGAGAGTGGCCGGCCAACTAAATGTGAGTATACTCAAGTTCTTCAAGCAAGGTGGATAAGTTCTATTGGCAATTGCAACAGCAAGTTACACATTCTAATCGACGCACAGCGCCCAAACTCGGCAGCAGTGCACATTGACTTCTCTGACAGCTCCCCTGCCGAAAGTTCGTCAATCTCAGTGTGAAGAATTGTCGAAGTATTTTACATTTGCTGTTGGGAGGTTGGCGCGTTCGCGAGCACGTTTGCAGCTCAAGAAATTGACGCACAATTCATCGTTGCACCCAAGGCTCCCATATTTGTAGATATCTCTCCACATAGGATCTTAGACACATGTGTGTTTTCAGGAAGTCTCCATTCTTCACTGTGAGGGCAGCAGCAGGGATCATGCGTTGCAAATTGAAGTCAATAGCGTCATCCCGGGAGAGTTCCTTCCCCTGTGTGCTGTTAGTACGGGTAGTTGTGATTGCATAGCATATTTCCCATTACATTACGATTAAGTTTTTCCCTATAACATTCTACATTGTGTGTTTAAAATTGCTTATTCGGTTGGAATAATGAAAATGGGATAATCACCAACATGTGGGCATGAAAACGAATTTTTGCGCGTTAATCGAAGCTCTTCGACAATTGCACTGACATAATGGCACGAAGCAACATGAACAAATAAGGTGGGGCTAATTTATCATTGTCAATTGATGTGTATACAAATGCGACATTTTCAGCTGCTTGGATTCTCCAGAAAACCTGTGTGAAATTTCTTCATGTGAGTTATAGAAACGGCTTACTGTTTGGGTAATTTATCATCAATGCAGCTCTCTTTTGCGCACCTTTTGTGCCTTGACAGCAAGCGCTTCAAAATCAGTATATCAGACTCGAGCATGCTCACATTATTGAAAACCAGCGCCGTGAATTCGTGCTATTATTTTCGTATGTAACAACCATGATTGGGACCTCAAATGCTTGCATGTATACAGCGATCCAGTACTAGGCAGCTCCAACACCATCAGGTAACCGACAGCTGCCTAAATATCGCCACCTTCTACAGCTGCTTTAAGTCCGTCACGAAATTTCCATCCGTATGTTGTTATTCGGACCTCGCTCCCAGGATGTCGGTCCATATTCGACTCCCCAAGATGTGCATATGGTTCACATTCTCAAACGTACTGATGCCCTCGGGTGCTGTAGTCTCTTCAATTTCCAGTTGGCACACGGTTGAATTATGCGCTGCTTTCTTTCGGTGGAGTCTTCCCAACACTTGTTTGTGTATCAGCCCAAAAGATTCCAATTTCCAACGAGGTGCATCACAAGCAACAAAGTGACCGATCGATCGCAATAATCAGAGCCGTAGCATTAGATGT